GCTAATTTTAATTTGTGTTAAGTAGTTAAAAAAAACTTTGATTCGAGGAAATTGAATTAAACAATAAAATTGTTTTACTGATATCTGATAAATAACAGATTAACGCATTAGGAGAATATAGACGCAAACTGATTTTGAGTACTTCATTACTAAAAAAATTCTAAACCAAGAAGAGCGATAAATAAATTAAAATACAAAGAATGCCAGCAACGGAATATTTAATCCTTTTAGTGTCCGCAGAGTTTTCATTGACTTAAATCATCTATGATAGATTTAAAACTATCTTAGAAAATCCTCTTTATAGTATTTTGTAAAATTGATGAAACTTTTGAATAATTAAGACACTAAAAGCTTTTAATTTTGTTAAGAAAGTTTATTTGTTATCATAGGTAATATAGAATAGATGATACAATGATTAAAGTAATTAAAAAATAAAACACAATTGGAAGTATAAGTTTATTTTAAGTTTGCAAAGTAAAGACGATCTATTTTTTAATAAAACTTAATTTAGCAACTAATAATTATTCCTGTTAAATGACCAGACTCTATGAAAGAACTACGAAATATCGTAAAATTTGTTTTATATTCGCTTTAATACAATCAGATGAATTTGCTTATTCTTTCCTTTTTAAAATTAAAATATTAGCTTCCCATATATTCGTTTTCATAATTAAAAATATAGTTAGTTTCTTAAACATTTCTAAATGACTTGAGTATCATATTAATTAAAGCTATAGTAAGTAATTTTAGGAGAATTTATCATGAATTTCTACATTAAATTCTATATAATTTATTAGTAGACTAGATTTGGCATTTTTATGTTGTAGATTTCCTAACATGAGAAAAATATAGTTATTTCGTTAGAAACTTTTAGTGTCATTCAGGATATAATTTTATATATATTATATAAATTCACGTTTAGAAATATCATAACTTTAGCTATATTTCAAGTGAATTTCTGTCTATAGATTTAAAAAATATAGTCGTGTGAACATCCATAACCGAAGATACGATAATAANGTAAAATTGATGAAACTTTTGAATAATTAAGACACTAAAAGCTTTTAATTTTGTTAAGAAAGTTTATTTGTTATCATAGGTAATATAGAATAGATGATACAATGATTAAAGTAATTAAAAAATAAAACACAATTGGAAGTATAAGTTTATTTTAAGTTTGCAAAGTAAAGACGATCTATTTTTTAATAAAAATTAGAAAAATTTATAATAATAAAATTAAAGGTTTTAATATTACGACCTGATAAATTTTGCATACCCAAATTTAAAAATGTCATTTAAAACAAAGAAAAAAGAATAACAAATTACTCTTGTCTGTTCCTATATAGTTGTGTCACATTTGAAGATTTTTTCTTTTTCTTTTTGACAGTTTCTCTTCAAATTGATATTAAATTAGATCGATATGTTTTATGTTTTTGCTTTAAGCTGATCCGTAATCGCTGAGCCGTAATTTTTTTATTTAATTCTTAAAGCAGGCTTGCAGACAATCAAAGAAAAAGATAAATTTAAGTGCATCTGTTGTCATGCAAAATTGCTTGAAAAGTTATAGAATGAGTGAAAATTTAGGGCCAAATAAAAACTCAAAAATGAGTAGCTATGCTTGTAATGCTATTTTCCAATTTATACTGTAGCGCTCTAAACATAAAATATAAAAAACTGGACTATGGTGTTATATACTGCAACAAAATAGTTTAAATTTCCCTGCAGAACAATTTTAAGATTGTGGAAATAAACAGTACATTCAAAAGAATAATGATGGTATATGGAAGTAATGCCAAAAATTGTCTGTAAGAAGAAAGAAAAGCTGAGAGATGAGAATTGTCTTCTAAATATTTTAAAATGTAACTCTATAGTTATGGTAAATGAATAAAATTACTGTTTTCATTTAAAATTTTCTTGATTTCAGTATTTTTTTTAGTAAATGTAACATTTATTTCAGGACAAAACTCAAAAGCTAAATGTGAACAAACAGAGTATAAAGAATGCAGTTATTCGGATGCAATGAAAATAAGTGTACTATTGGTCAATGTTTCTTGAAATTAAGTAAAAATTACATATGGTCTCAAATTCAGGAATTTTGAAACTATTATGACACTTCCAGGTGATATCTTATATATCTATGGACCGTCTTCCACTAGTATGTGAATAGTTAAATTAAGAAAACATTTACAACGTTTAGTTCGTTTTCGTTTCACAAAGTTTCCAGTTTGCCATAATGTAACTATTCCTAACCAGTAGAGTCCCGTACAACGCGGGGAATTCGTTAAACATTCTAGGAAATCGCGTTATCGAAACCGCATTATCACACGATTTATGAAAGTTTAAACCTTGACCTATAAGTTGAAAAAAAAGTATACCTCTGATCGACAAAATTTGAGGGTGTTGCTTGTTTTATTAGCGCGTTGTACGGGACTCTACTGTATTAATAAAGTTAAGAAGTAAAATATAAGAAATGCGTATTATTCTTAATAAGTAAAATATATGGGATGATTAACAGTTTGATATTATATTATATTATTTGAAATAGTATAGAAAACTATTTTTTAAATAAAAAATACCTTTGAAACAAAGAGCATGTTATTTTATTTGCTTAAATATAATTCATTAATTAAATTACAATTTCATTTTTTAATATTTATTTATAGGATACTTTCTAAGTTTATTTGCAGAATTTTTACAATATCTGTAGAGTGATCGTGTTCTTTGAAAGTTGTTTTTTTTAACTTTGGATGGGTGAGATGTTTTTTAAATAGTTTGACTAATTACAGTTAATGATTCGCGAAGATGTGAGTTGAAGTTTTTAGTGGTATGAAGTTAAAAAGATTAATTATAGACCTTAATTGTTTATATATATAATTAACACTTAAATAGGAGCCCAGTTTCTCGCAGAATGCCCACTCGGAAGGCACCCCTCCATGGCAGATCGCCTTCGTGTTGCCTTATTTCATCTTTTTATTATCCATCCTTTCGCCCATAAGCATTAAAAGGTCCTTTCTTCAAGATTATCGCGGATTCGGCCAAAAACGCAATAGGACTGATGAGTGGTAAGGGATTGGGCCAACATATCAGATACAGATCATTCCCGAAAAAATTCCTAGGATTTTTCGATCTATCCTTGTTCCCCAGAGTGATAGCACGCCTTAACCGCTTCGCCATCATGCCGGCCACATTTTAGCACTAACATAAAAACTAATTATTTCAAGTATGTTTCAACTCTAATTCAAAATCCCATTTTTCAATTTTTATCGCTTTGTAATCCAGCTTAACGTAAATAGACATAACATAATTCAAAAACCAAGTCTTTACATTATAATAATTTTATAATTCGTAAAGTTTTATAACTTTCTCTTTATGGACATTAATTAAATAATAAAATTTTCACGGAGGAAAGTTGTAAAACTTTTTAAATTATGAAAGTATTAAAAACTAAATTTTGAAAATCTTAAATATAAAAAAAAAATTTTAATGGGAAATTTTTATTAAAATTTAAAATCTAAAAGGCAATCTATATAAAATCAGTCTCCTTTACATCCATTTTCACATAGAAAGAACAAGAGAATGACGTTGGCATTCATTCCGACTTTCATTCTAGACTACTTGACTGTCAAATAATGATAAAATTATCTTTTTTCAATAAACATTTTAAGAGTTTTAATAATTTTTTAAAATATAAAAAAGAATAGTGATTCCTTCGTATATTTGAAGAACACACTTTACATTTACCTCCCAATGAGCTTTTCATGCTTTAAAATTTAATAATTTGTAAAGAATTTTTTCATCTTTTTTTAAATGGAACTTTTATCACTTTTTTAATGATCAAGTAGCTTACAACGAAAGGCTAGCGCTAACGTCATTTTGTTTCCCTAAAATGTGAAAGTAAATAAAAGACTGATTTTATATGAATTTTTCTTCAAATTTTACAGTCGCAGATATTATTATAAAAAATAGTCACTCCCAATACTGTATTTTTCAGTTTCAGAGGCAATTTGCATTCAATTTCTAGAATAAAAACTTTTGATAGCAATATAAAGTCATTTTTATTGTGTACACAGTGCGAATTACATTATATAGTTCTTTAAAATAATATAAATGTATTTGTAATTGTATATTGCTTATTTTTTTTTATTTTATCATATACAAACGTTTATATATTGTTTATATATTAACTTTATATTAATATTTATTAGAATGGGTTTTTTGTTTTTTTGTTTGTGTATATGCATGCACAGTACGTATGTATATATGTATATAATTAAACGAGATTAAACGAGTGTAAACGTGATTGGAACAATTTTTTAAATAAATAAAACAAATGTACGTAGCGCAGAAATACTGTAAAGATTTAAAATATTCAAAAATATTTATTTATTTTGTTCTTAAAAAGATGCGAATACATGCTGCATATTTACATTTCACAAAACATAAATTTTTTCAAATTGATTTAAGGTCTACTTCTACTAAAAGCAAGATATACGCTAAAAATATTTCTTAATGCAATATTGGTATTTACAATACAAAAATTCATTTTAAAAATACACTGTAAGAAGTTCGTATTATCTTAACAGTTAATAAAAGAATGAAAAAAAAAATTTTTTTTCTGGAAACAAAAAATATTTCATTTTATATAATTATATTAGAAACTCAAAACAAATTTTAAATATTTAAATATTTTTTTCATAAAAATAGAATAAAATAGTCTTGAATAATATTTTATAGCTAAATAAATAATTTTATTTTGAAGTACTTTACATTATTAATTAACTTTTTTATTTAAAAAAATACTAATAAATACTAAATTTAATTAATTTATTCGAATTTTAAATAAAAGGTATGTTAAAGTAATTTATTTTCTTAATTAAATTATACGACGATTCATTTAGTTAAAAGATAATATATAAATAAAATATGAAATTCTAATACAAGATTCTTAACCAAATAAAAACTGATGCATTCAATCATTTTAAAAATTTATTATTATTAGATGTAAAAATGAAACATTAATTACTATTGGATAATTAGTACAAAGAAATATAGCATCTTATTTAGTGATGATATTCACCTTGAATGCCAGGAATTTTGAAGATATCGTACTGTAGGTGAAAGTTTTTAAATGTAAAATTATATAAATTAAAATTTAATCTAACCGATCTTAATACAAAACAAAACTGTTATAAATAAATAAATTTTATTTAATTGAGAAGTTTGATTTTTATGTTCGGTTTAGGTTATGAATAGGGGACGGATATATATGTTAAAAGCCATTCAAATATGTTTATACAGTATCACTTGACTAACGCGGCTAATTTATTAAAACTTCTTCCGCACATATAAAGGGAATACCGGAATTAATTTCGCCCGTTAATCAAATCTTTTGTTATGCAAGGAATAACTGTAACATATTGCTTAAATAGCTAAAATATGTAAATAAGAACGTACGACAGTGATAAATAAATATACTGTACTTATTTATTTGTATGCACTTTTTATATAAGTAAAAAACATTATTAAATTTACATAAGACAATCTTAATTTTCCGATTACTGGGACGTATTATGTGGCGATGTTTATGAGCAATTGATAAGAATGTTCTTCTCTAGATTTTTGTGTATTAAAATTGGATTTTAGTTGGTCAGGATACTTTTCTATACAGAAAAGGATTTCGCAACGTCTGAAGAGGCCAGTGACAGAACTTGAAGTTTGCAACAGCAGATAGTTCCAAGTTCCTGGAATTTTGTGTGTTTTCACTATCAATTTACTCTGTTCATTTGCTTAATTACCTCTAAACTTGGATGTTTTTAAGGACTGCAATCAATTTTCTAACCGTTCGACTTCCTATTTCCCCTAGAAGAGACTCAATTGAAGTAGTAAAATCAGCAAGAATTTGCAAATTCAGAAAGTTCCAATCCCTGGATTTTCAACTTTGTTATCGTCCCGCAACTACAGTGAGAGTGATCTTGTATGAAAGCTGTCTTTCTTAAGGGATATCGATTCAAACATCTCTTGGGCTTTTGCAATGCTACATGCGTCTTCACTTGAAAACGTGTCGATCACCTAAAATAATTTGGAAAATTGTTAAATTTAATTTCAAAAAGTTACAAATTAACATATTGATTAATACTTACTGTTTTGCAATTAAAAAAAATTTTATGAAAGAAAACACCTTCATTTATCTAGGTTTACCATCAGGTTATAATCGGATAAAGATAGGGATTAGACTCTGTAGATTCGTACTCTGTATGGTATCTCACAGAACACTTTTTACATAGCGGCAATTAATCGACTTCAAACTGCTGCATCTCGGTGGAATCCATGTGCCAGGCATGTGGTATTAATCATGTTTGGACAAAGAACCCAGAGCTCTAGCTTTTAGTATATAAGGAGGATATCACTAAAATTAATAGTTTCTCTTCCTTCATGCTATTTGTCCACAATATATCTAAAAGTAAATACTTTACAGATAAATAAATTTTCTTATAAAAGTATGTTTAATAAAATGTAATTTTAAGAAATTATTGATTATCTTACGCAAAAGAGCATTTACAAAATATGTAATAGTTGCATGATTTGTCTTCTCAAGCTCACCGCATGCGATGAAGCGTGGCTTACACGCTGTAAAAGTAGACAATTTTTCCACTAAGTTTGACATGTAAGTCCCCATTTTTCCGTGCTTTCATCGACGCTTTATCAAATATCTGAAATTTCACAATCATTCTTGATGTCTGATATTACCTTAAAAAGCAATAGACCAATAGCCGTTTATTATTTTGATGTATATTTTAAAATTATTAACAATTATGTTCTATTAAATGAGAATGCCCACCTTTTCATAGCAGTATTACAAGTAATTTCCTTGAAATGTAGACTCATCTGGTATAGAACAGTTACACCACTTTTCCAGGAACTGTTTAAATTCTGGCACTTATAACTTTTTCTACAGGATATTAGCTGCTAAAAACGCAGTACAATCCTAAAGTAAATTTCGTCATTTTTCTTTTGTTCATTTGGTGCATAAGTTGGTCAAACGATATTGACTATTCTTATTGCATTAAATATATAAATATTTATATATATTTATTTATGAATTTTTTGCAGTATGCTGTTCTAACTGGAATAGTTGAGTGCACTCTATCTTTTTGTAGCATGGCTGCCAGAAAACAATTTTCTTATCTACTATAACACTTTATTTGGGAATTCGTTCTCCACAATTGTAATTTACACGAAAACTGTGCTGATTCTGTGAAAACTGTGATTTTTTCTGTGATTCAGCTAAACAATGTTAAAACATTGTTTAGGTGAAAACAATGTTAAAACATTGTTTAGGTGAAAACAATGTTAAAACATTGTTTAGCTGAATCACAGAAAAAATCCGGTTTAATAATGTAAGATAAGAATACAAGATGAGCTCAAGAAGTATGCAATGTCACAGGCTCGGCTGTCAGCGTGTCACTCTCTTTCTCTCTCTCTCTCTCTCTCTCTCTCTCTCTCTCTCTCTCTTTTATTCTTTATTTGAATGTTCAATCGTTATTTGCACTGTGTGCAAATCCCAACCATCGTTTCCAACCGTCACTTGTGCAGAAAAATTCCGTTCATATATGTGCAGGAAATAAGGAAAATATGTTATGTTAAATTGCATAAATATATTTTTATATTACATGCTATAACCTGTGAAATGGGGAAAATAATGTAAAATAAAACTACCCCGATTCGATTCAGTAAACGATCAGAACTTCACATATGAAATTTAAACGTCACGCCATACAGATTTTTAAAAAAATGTTTTTATGGCAAAAGTATAGCAATAACAAAATAAAGATTTTTTTGTTTTTTCGTTCTAGTATAGCGTATAAGAAAAAAATTTTTTAACAGAGTCTAAAAGCATTTTCATTTTTTATTTGACTACATGATCATAAAAAGGATAAAATTAGTAGACGGACCAAAATATTTTAAGATATCCTATACCAAAGTCAGTGCTTCTCAAGCTAACTGAAATGGTCACCTGAGATATTTTTCCCAACTTATTAGGAACATGCATTCGATTTTTATCATATTATTTACTGTATTATCAAACTTGAGAGTCAATGTACTCGCATAAATTTTCTCGTATGTGGATACTGTACATACATACTGTAACATGACAGTTATCAAGATATAATAACAATTATGAGATGCTAGGAAACTTTTCGTGAATCGGTACCGGTCCGAGAATCGTCATTCTGAGTAATATTGCTGTAAATTATGAGATCAATTGAAATATGATATTTTTGTCCATTTTTGTTTGGACATTATTTTTCATAATAATTCTGTTCATTTGACTTCGCGTGATGATTTAATTTTCATAAATCCATTTTTATTATTGTTATCTTTTTTTTAAAGTATTTCTTTATCAGGAATACTGCTTAATGGCAATGAATTTACATAAAATTATTTTAAAATTAGAAAAATNATATATATTTTTCTAATTTTAAAATAATTTTATGTAATTTATGTAAATTCTTGCTATGTAATGATATTTGTGATAATAAAACCGAATAATTGAAAACGAATTGTTATTAAATTAGCACTTTTTCAAATTGATGTTAAGATTAGTCATCTGGAATATAATTTGATTTAATTTCTTTTGTCGTTGAAGTAACTTGAAAGTGAACCGAAAATTTGACACAAGATGAGTTTTATGTGATATCTACGGTTTGATATTGATGATATAAAAAATTTATTCGAATTTTTTGATAGATAACAGTTACAAATTAATATTTTGAATATGGTAAAAGTTTATTTTGCACAGTAATTAAAGAATTCAATGAGATTCAACTGATAATCATCAAACCAATTGATATTGTCGTCAAATCAACTGCTAAAAGAACATATTTTTTTCAAAAAATACTTTTTATTTACATAATTGCTTTTATGAATTGTTTATAATACAAATTTATTTCAATATTTCAGAGTTTTTGTGAAAGACTTTGTTAAAATATTCAAAAAATTAAAAATTTACAAAACTAATAAATTTTAACAAATAATATCTACTTTTCTGCCTACGTTAATAAACTAATAGCTAATAACACTAATATATAAATAAATGAAAATTTTATTTTTAAAAACTTATCATTATTAAACTTTAAATGTACTTTAATAAACAGTATGGTGATGGTTATAAAAATGTTTAAACTATTAAAGTGTGTACAGTTGAAAGGATTTTTGACAATAATTCAGCAACATGGAAGGTAAAAATTTGAGCGAGCAAGTTTGTTATCTTATTTGATCATAATAATGATTGCAGAGGAAATTAAAAATATCCATTATAATTAACTCAATATTTGGATAAATACTTAGACAAACTTCGTAACGTATAGAGAACTAACCTCCCTCCAAAAATAGCCCATGGCTCTATTTTATGCACTGTTAAACTTTTCTGGGTTTAATTAGAACTTTTGTAATGGAGTTATGCATATTCACCTAATTTAAATTTACTGTAATTAAAGGATATAGTTGTTTAATTCAAATTAAGTTATTATGTTTTAAAGTGCAAACTAAGTGAATTGAAGAGTATTACGATAATCAGGAGAGAAGAATATCAATCGATATACTTTAAATGAACGATACATAAACAATATCGATCTCGCTAGATGAAATAAACTATAAACTATACAAAGCAATGTGAGAAGAAATTAAATTTTAGTAACTAATTACAAGATATAAGTGGATTATTATATCATAGAAATTACTGCAGAAAACATGTAAAATCATTACAGTATACAACAATGCATTTTCGACAATGCGTGACAGAAAAATGTACTATTTAATTAATTTATATAATAGTAATTAATTATATATGTTTAGTGGTTCTTAACCGCTGTACGAAATTCTCATAAGAGTGCCATAAAATTTTAAAAAACAATTTTAAAATGCTAATTATTTGTTTTATTTGTAATATTATATACACATTTTTATGTAATAAGTTACCGTTTTAAACGTCACTCTTCGTTTACACAAATAAGAGCTTCTTGGATGCGGCACTGGCTCAGAATGATTAAGAATCTATTTTAGAAAATGACGCCTCACTAACGATCCTTGTATATAATAAATTTTTAATTTGAATGAAATAAAGTTTAATACACAATTAATTAAATTAATTATGTATAAACTATACTAAGTAAAGAAATCAAATTAATTTTAAAATAAAATATTATTTATAATATAGTATTAAATAACATGTATCGTAAATTGCCATACATTTGATAATAGATTTCTTCAATGGTCTGTTTAATTTAAATATGTTTCTATCTACCGTATTTATACGCTTAATCGTAAATTCATTTTTTGTAAATAAAAAATAAGTTTAACATCTCTACATAGAAATCAGACCATGAGATATACAGAAAAATGTCAAGATTTATGGAAGAATCCGGTACTTCAGTGTTTACCAACTCTAGTGAAATGGGTGTAGCAAGAGTTTTAAAAGGAAATTATGCATTTCTCATGGAAACTATGTCAATTTTATACGAAACTGAAAGAAAATGTGAACTGACTCAAATCGGAGATAAATTAGTCGATATTAATTATGGTATTGCTATGCCACCAGGTATGTATCATATTACGTTTTAATATTATTATTATAAATTAATGTAATGACCATGATATAGAATTACTTGGTAATTACATAGCAATATTAAATTTTTATAAACTTCCATAATACTGCATTAAAAAATAATTTCCTGAAAGTCGATTAACTTTGTTTATTTTATCGAAAGTCTTATACGAAATTAATTCTATTGAAAATTAATAATTAATTGTTATTAATTATTTGTATTGTTAGTAATTTTATCTTTTCCGTGTTTTAAATTATAAATTTAGACAGTTTCGTTTATAATACAATTTTTGTTATACCATTTTAAACCAGAATCTATTCAAAACTTCATCTAACGTTTAAATTCATGCATATCAATTATATACAAATATACATTATACAATATCATAGAATATTCAACAAAACAATTTCCTTCATTTGAAAATCACTATTACAATAATAATTCTGTTTATTATTTGATTTGTAATATACACCAATTATCATAATCATTTAAACTAATAAGTGGAATTTGTTCTATTGTAAAATGATTTTATTTTAAAATTCAGGCAGACTTAAATTATAGTTCTAATGATGTATTGCAGCTACAGAACAAAACTGCTTATTTTATAACAATTGTGCATAGAAACTATTATTCTATAAATCTGAAAACTTATATGTTTATAATATTCTCGGTTTATATACGTTATAAGTTATTGCAAATCGGGAAAGATGCCACACTTTCTGTTTTTGATGGAAATGGCAGGTGCAGTTTATTTATTTGTGTGCTTTGGATGCAATTACCAAATTCTAGATAGGTCTTTCAAAAGTATATATTGGCACAGAACAACAAGATTAACTTCCGTTTTTAATAATGAATTTCCCTTTTATCCGTGTACAAATTAGGCATCTTACCCCGACGATCGGAGTAAGATGCCTACTGGAATCATTTTAATAAACAATCTGATTCTATTGTCAGTAGTTGCCGATAATGGAAAACAGTTCTCGATGCATGCTATACACAGTTTATTAATATAGGTTTATTAATAATTTCAGACGTGTCAATAATAAAGATACGAAATCGATTAATAATCTAGTTAATTAGTCTGATATTTACCTTACTTTATGAATTTATTTTAAAATTCAGTTTTCGGTTTCAAATATTTCGCTTGTTTATATATTCTATCGTTTGTTTAAATGATTCCATTATTTTAAAAACAATATAATTTACTATTTTTAATAAGTTAATCGTTACTGAAATTATAGTAATAATTATGTTCATTATACATCTATATAATGAACGAAAATTTACAATTTTTAGGATAACACAAAAAAATATTAGTATACATAAAATTTATATTTTACATTTATAATATATTAAAAACAAAACATTATATACTATACATAATGCTATTTTAAATGTTATAAATCAATATAAAAAATATAACTAAAATTAAAAGTTATCTCAACTGATTTACCGGTAATAATTTTTTTAGAAAGTTTTTGTTTTTATTTATGTAACTCATTAAAATTTATTTTAAATGACAATAGGCAAAATTTTTAGGCTATACAAATTATTTCTTATCTTTTCCTAACATTACTATATATATAATCAAATTAAAATAATTAAATTTTTGGTTTTAATAAACTTTTCCTTTTAATTTATTTTTTAAAATTACAATTAAAAATTTACTATTTATCGTATTTACTCGCATATAAGACGAGGTTTTGCTTAAGGTTTAAAATGCTAGTAATATTTGCAGGACAATGTGTACATTTACGGGCATTTGATATTTTATTTGTGATTAAACGAAATAAAATTAGAATTGTATTAATAAATCTAATTTTCTTTATTTTGATCTTTAAAGTACACCTCGTTATATATGCGAGATCGACTTATACACGAGTAAATATGGTATATTTATGGTAAATTATGATATATGATTTTTATTTTTAATTAAATTGAAATAAATTATTAATTGTTTGATTAAATAGATAAGTTATTCTTATACATAAATTAATGAAATGCTTATTTTTACATAATATCATTATTCGTTTGATAATTAAATTATATACTGTATTTTAAAACTTTGTTTGTAAAAGTTATTCTTATATATATACATTTAAACAAACAATTAATAATTTGTTTCAATTTAATTAAAAATAAAAATCAATGTAAATAGTAAATTTTTAATTGNTCTAAGTGACTCGTACAACATGGAATTCATATAAAACGGAATAATCAATGATCTTATACGGGGGTCGACTGTATTCAGTTGTATGATCTATATTTCTCATGATCATAAGTTTCATAAGATATGATCAAACGAGTTTACTTCAAATATACTATATTTATACATTTTATTACATTATTATATTACATAAAATTTTATATTATAAAAAATATTACAAATATTTATAAATCTGCAAAAATGTTATTAAAATATATGCACAATAAGCATACTATTTTAATGATAAATTTAAACAGAGACGAATTAATTTAAATTTTATGTATCATATTATCTATTGAAAGTTAAAAGAAATCGTTAATTTTCTTATAGGATCTCCTTACGTGCCGTTATTCTCTGAATGCATACTAAATCTGCAAGAAAATGGGACATTAGCCCAAATAAAGGATAAATGGTGGAAGACAAAGAATAAGTGTCCAGAAGAGAAAACTTCTATTAACAATAACAAACTATCCATAACAAATTTGGGAGGAGTATTTGTAGTCTTAGGAATAGGTTTAGGATTTTCTGTGATTGTGATGATTGTGGAATTCTTCTGGAAAACAAAAAGCATTCCTTACGAAGAAAGAGTAAGAATATATTTAAATTAGTTATTTTCTCTTGTTTAATTGATCAACTACTTTAATTCTTTTGCCAGTAAAACCAATAATATCCTTCTTAACACTTTCATCGTTTTCTAGTTTGATTTAAAATGTTTATTTTTTGTTTTACAGTATAAACCTAATTTATTTAAATCCTAGATAATTATTTAACAGATCAAAATGTACCGTACAGTACATCAATAAAATGATAAATTAGTGATGTCGATCATATTTTCGTATTATGAAAGTGATAAAGATATATATAATAACAATTTTTAAAATATAAAAAAATTATGAAAGAAAATAGAATATACAATTTTACGAATACATAAATTATTAAATTAATTCAAACAAGTAGTAAATAAAAAGTTTTTAGAGTATATTTTTGCTATTAAAAATAAAGAAATAAAAGCAAAATCTAAAAAAAAATCTCTGACAGATTAAAAGATTTTTTACAAAAATAAAACTTGAAATTATTATTTAATGATATTTGAAAAATCGATATCATTTAAGTGAAATTTATGCTGACTTTAATTAAATAGTAGTTATTTTTAACAGTAAATAAAGCATAAAAAATAAATTAAAATTTTTGGAATATTTTTCATAACATTTGAACATGAGATGTTTCTGTATTAAATTTAAAAAAAAATTACAATCTGACATATAAAAAATATAAAAATATGATGCATTATGAAATAGATAGCAGTAAAATGATAAAATATATTATAAAAATAATAAAACATAATATTATTAAATCAAAATTTAACGTTATGATTTTCTGAAAAGTGATTTTTATATCAGTTTCCATTTAAGAACTTTTTTAAAAAATTATTACATAAAATATAATTTATTTATGAACCATTTTAAAAAAATACAGTCTTCTCCTATTTATATATAACTTATATATATCATTTATTATCATAAATATATAAAAAAACTTGATATAAACATTAAAAAAATGAATTATTTGAAGTAACGTACTGCATATATATTATATGCTTATTGTTATTAATTTTCTTTTAAAATGAAGAACTCCTACATACTATTGAAATAATACATCAAGTACTTTAGATAAATACTATTTATTATACATAATAATATTATTTTAAAAAGATAAATAAAAATAAAAATAAAAAGGATCATGGTCAAGAAACACGACTTATAAATAATTGAATTCATAATAAATGTCATAACTTTCCAATATTATTTATTATATTTTCTGTTATAAAAATACTTTAAGGTTATATTTTACTTGAAATTTTATAGAAAAGATTCATAAAATGAAAGTTTTCTGAAAGATTTTCTGTGATAAAAATAACTCGATGTTATAATCATGTCATAAAAAGTTCATTCACCTTCTACATGTAAAAATAATCCTCATAGCATTTTTAGAAGAATTAATATTTTTGATATTTATGAAAGTTACATTAATATTTGATTATTTTTTATATTTTACAGAGATGTCTATGTATTGAATTCTGTCTGAGGATCAAAGATATCATAATGTGCGGTGGATCTACAAGAGTTATAGATAGAACTTCATTATATGCAATGGACGATAGTGTGACTAGAAGTTCTCTTTTCGGCACAACTTCGGCAAAAACTACAACATCGACTTCATAAATTTTCTTTATTTATATTTATATAACTTTTAAAATATTTATATTTTCGTTTGATAAAATTTTGTACGGTGAAAGAAAGCCTTTTTAATATTTAAAATCTAGTAAACTACTTTTGTAAATTCTTTAAATGTTTTACATAAGATATTAAAAAAATTGAATATTGACTAAAATTGTATTAACTAATTTTAACTAAACTTGCAAACTAATACGCAAATTTACTCGATCACAATCTTTCCTGAAAGTTATCTGAAGGACGTCTATATTCTGCACTAATGTACAGTACAAACATGTTAATACATAAAACTGGGATAAAGTTTCTACATATAATATTAGCAATACAAGAAAACAAAAGACGTGTTAATATATATTACGAAAACTTACGTACAAATTTCTCGCAACTTTTCTAACGCTTAAACGTCAAGATACTGTACACTTTAATGTATTTACAAAGATTTAGAAAAAAGCAAATATAACAGTAAAATTTATCTAAATATCGGTGGCCAAATTTTGATCCTAAAATAGATATTGTCCTTAGAGGGCGCTTCTATTAACGTCAAGCAAGTCACCAAATTTAAAATCTGTTCACCTGGTGTTGTGAACTTTCTTTAATTAGTGTACGCAAGCAACCACGTAAATATGCTAAACACCTTCCGAACAAAATGAAACATGGCCATTTTTTCGTAAAGAATTTTCTTAATATTTTTTTACTCAATTCATTTTTTATTAACGTCACGGCATCACTTCCGGAAGTGATAAAAATAGGTAAGTGATAAAATAAATCTAATATATTCTAATATTGTTTTGTTAAAATAAACATTATGATATTGATCAGCACTTAATAACTGCTTTGTTTAACCTTCAATTTTTTATATTTTAAATAAAACATAAATCTTTAAAAGTACACATGTTTTATATACTTCCCTCTTGTACTTAATGTGCTGTATAATTTTAAGTTGTTAAAACGATTATAATTGTTCGCTATTAATAATAGCAAATGTTTTATTTCAATAAATAAACGAAGTTTAGATTTCTATGAATTAAAAAAGAAGTTTCTCTGCCAATATAAATAGAAACTCTTCAATCTACAAAATTAACTGTTTACATAATTAACGATACATTAAATATAGATTATTACAGTAGTGTTGAGTGAAGTTTTAAGTTCTTAAATATTCAGTGAGTAATTAGATCGATATTATTTTGAAACATTTAAATATAAAATCTATAAAAGCATTAATTTATACTTAATAATCTTATAAACGTTTTTATATGATTAATTATTTAAACTTTAATTAAATTACGAATAAAAGTTATTGACGCGAAAGTTAAACCGATTTAAAAAAAAATTTGAAATATTTTTAAAACGTTTTAAAATGACCTTTAAAGATAAAAAACCTATAGAATAAATTAACCGTAAATTTAATCTTTAGTGAGTACTTTAACAATGTTTTTGACTTACTTTTTCAACCATAAAACGCTCGTTTTTGAAAGTTTTTATTACAAAAAAAGAAGGGGAAAAAAGAATTCGCTGAAAATTCTAAAAGTTGTGATAAAAGGTTTTACTTTTAAATAAATTTCTATTTAAAAACTTAGTTTTTATTGTATAAAAATGATAATATTTTACAATATTATTTTAATTAGAAGCCAAACATCAATTATAAATACGAAAATTAAATAAAAACTTGTATGAAATTAATATAATTATCATAAAAAATAAAAGTTTAAAGCGCTATGTTATTTTACTATTGAATTTTGTATATTATTTAAAAAAAATGTAATTCAACTAATAAGAGATGAGAATTTTAATATCAACACATTTTTTTTATTCATATTAATGACAAAAATTAAAGAAATATTTATAAATGTTTTCGTATAAAATTTTAACTTTTTAGCGAGATTTTGAAAAATATATGAAGTGTGTAAAATGTGAAATATGTAGTGAAATTTTTACACATTATAAACATTAATTAAAATTAAACATGTTAATTAAAATTAATTTTTAAAAATATTAAAATTATTTTTTAATTCATTTATAATTCAAAGTTGAAAACAGGGAATTGAATTCTTAAAAAGCCAAAAAACAAACAGCAGAACCACTTCATCTAATTAAGATTGTAAGTCTATTTTTAAAATGTTTTTAAAGAAACATGTTTTGATTATTGTCAAATTTGCACAATTCACTACAAGATAAATATTGATATTTACTAAGTAAATGATAATAAAATTTGTATTTCTTAGGAAATTTCAAATAAAATAAATGCCAAAATTATTTCACATTATATATTATAGTTTGCTCGTTTGTGACATACACAATCATTTATCATTGAAAGAATATTAATGAAAATAAGAAATATTTATTAGTTTTATTGGTAAATGAATTAAACAGATATTTTAATTGCTATAAGCAAACTGAAGTTACTTTGGTGTGTTTAAAGATGTGCTTTATATATTATATAAAATAAAGAATTAAATTATGAAAATCAAAATATTTGAATAAGAAAATAGGATGAAATATGATCAGTGGATTTCTAACATAAACAACATAAGGATAGTGTAAGATGTAGATGTAGTAAACAAAGACTTTTTACGTTCCTCTTCTGATAAGAAAGATGAACGCAACGGATAAAGAATAAGATGATAAGGATAATGGGATAATGCAGTATTGAATGGAAAAATGGGTTGAATAACTGATGTACGCTTCAGTTTCTTTTACTTTAAATAAACACAGCAAAAATATAAATAAAAAATAGTTCATGCTAGAAAAAAATAACCCAAGTTTATATTTATTTATGGAAATTCTCTCATTAATTACACGAAAAAAATAATGAGATACAAAGCATACAAATTAATTAAATAACAAAAACTAAAAAAAAGTAATTATTCTATACGATGATAGATATTTTTGAGTAAAATTCAATCCATACTATATCATATTAACTTATAAAAAATGTAAAACACTGCGTATCGGGTTTTAAGCTATTAATAATTTGGCCACATCTCATAAAAATAAGTACACCAGCTTCCAGTTATCTTTTTCAAATATCTTTAAAAATAACCGATGTGAATGAAATTTACAAAAATTTCTTTAAAAATAGTAATGAAAAATTTTCTTCTGTAAATATTTAAGACAGGAAAATATATACAAAAATTCTAAAAATGGAATAATTTTTCATAAACGACATGGAGTTATATAAAACTAGAATATGATAAAATGTTGAGTAATGTGATGACGAATAATAATGTAATGCAAAACTGTATGATTCAAAAATAACAAGATTTTGTTTCGACAGGTGCAGTATTTGAAATGTCAAATGTTGATAAAGAAATGACATTCCGACATGCTGTTGATCGCGTCAATGCCAACAATAGCATACTTCTTCACACAAGACTGTCAGCTTCAGTGAAAAAAGTTACTCCGGAAGATATTTTAGATGCTCGAAGAAAAAGTATAACAAAATAGATATATTCTTGACAATTTATGTTATATAACATAAGTAGATCTTATTTTTTACGAATAGTACTTATTGTAAGCCTAGGTTTAGTACAATAAAATAACATATTGAGTTCGTTAAAATATTATTAATACGGTCTACTAGATGGTATGACGGTTAATTTACAAGTTATAAAATGAAAATATAAATCAAACGATGTTTCCTAATATTAAAAATAATTTATTAATCACAAAAGGAAAAATTTCATACATATGGCATCGTATAGCGTCTTTGAATGCTAAAAAAGAAATAAATTTTTAATGATTTCTAGGTATATCTTAAAAAGTTTACAGAAGTAATGAAGTAATGTGGGTGGTTGTTATTTATGGACTTCGAAAAACCACCAAAATTCGTGTTATTTTAAGATTTATTCATAAGTATTATTCATTATTCATGGAAAGTTACAACGCGTACTTCATACGAATTACCTTAATAAATAAATTATAAGTGTTAATTATACGTAAAATAATTATATATTATATTTAGTTAAAGTAAAAATTTTGTTTAATTTTTATAAAAAAACAATTCATTTATTAGGGATATTTTTATGAATATAAATATTTTTTAACGAATTAATAAAAGCAGAAAATTCGAAATTATGTTTTTATCGATTGGAACTTATCCAAAAGAAACAAACTAGAGACTAGGACATTTTCTTCTTATAGTTATTGAAAAAAATGCATATATTCATATACTGTTCTGTAATACCATATGGTAAAGTTATTTTTAAATCACAGCTTAAATAGATTACTATCGTTACTAAAAAGAAAAAGGAAAAAAAAAACATACGTACATTATCCAACTCTGAATGTAAATATCTTGACAAACATAATATAAAAAATAATAAAATTTTTACAGCATAATTTTTGCTTGTTTTGTAAAGAAATTATCGTTACTAATAGTGTTGATATTCTTGTGTAGTTTCATTCGTGAAAAGTATTTAAATATTCAAAACATATTATTAAAACACGTAATAGAAGATCAAATTAATTGATGTGACAATTATTAACGATAATTTAGACTCGCCGCAGCATAAATTTGTTGTTTTAGTTTCTCTGGACTATTTAATATGAATTATGAGTAATTTATGTATTCAAAACATGGTTATTGTTACTGATAAAGTTAAAAAATGCACATTAATATTGTATATTATTTAACATCTACATCACACATGAAAATGTGCTAAATTAAATATAATACAAACTAAAAATGTACTACAAGTTAAAAGTATTAATACTTTTAAAAGAAATATGCTAATTGTAATCGTAATTTTGGTAATTTTTAAGACCTTAGTTCTATGTGAAATTTATTCTATTATATACTTCAAATAGTAGTAAAATTTTCTATTTTATGATAAGTTTTTAAAGAGAAACATTTTATTCCATTTGGAATGATATACGGATATTTTGGTTTATTTTTTTCCAGTATGCGAATTGCTAGAAGAAGGAGTGGCAGCTGTCCTAACTCCAACATCGCTTTCCCTTGGTAGTCTAGTGAAACACACATTCGATACATATAATATTCCTCATCTTCAAACCGGATGGGATTACACAAATAAAAACTGGCTTCACTCTCTCAATTTCCACCCAGATTATACGGTTGTAGCTACAGCATACAGGAAGCTGGTAGAGAGATGGAACTGGAAAACATTCACAATCCTTTACGAAGAAGAAAATGGTGAATTTTTGAAAATTTATGTTGGAAAATACCAGAAAAACTTACTTTAGGAAACACATTTCTATAAATATATATAAATATAGAATACAGTTTTAAATAACAAAAACTAAAAAAAGTAATTATTCTATATGATGATAGATATTTTTGAGTAAAATTCAATCCATACTATATCATATTAACTTATAAAAAATGTAAAACACTGCNAAGAATGTTTACTTTTATATAAGATCATTTTCATTTTAACAGCAACATTTTTGTAAAAATATTTCAAAAATCAAAGTCAAAATATATCAAAGCTTTCATATAATACAATAGATGCTCTGTTATCTGTCAGTAAATGTCATATATAGAAATCATTTTATCGCCATCTGTTATGAAATTTTGACATTAGAGAATTTAATGGCGTGACATCCCTAGTAAGAAAATCTTATAGTTTATTGTAGAACTTTTATTGTTAAGATTAGGTTTGACAGAAAATAAGATTTGACTTGTAATTTATGTTCATGGTTTAGGATATGTTTCAATTGGATTTTACCGAAGTATATAATGGTGTAACTAATATAACAGGATTTAGACTAGTTGATCCTGAACATCTTGAGATAAAGCAACCTATTAGAGATGAAGCTGGAAATAGATGGCCTTGGAAGAGAAAAGTATAATGAACCTTTGCTTGATAATCTAAAATTCCCTTTGTTTAATAGAAAAATGATAATAATATGTCCCTTCTTTCTGCAGGATACAGAAACAATACTAATTTATGATGCGGTGATGATGTTTGCCAAAATTATGAACGATAATTTTCTTAATCAGCCATTTTCAACTGCATATTTCGCGTGTGAATATCCTACAACGTGGTATTATGGTAACCAAACAACTGATTATATAAAACGGGTACGTTAGTTATTAATTAAATATATTCTCGTTTATTTTAATTAATAGATACTTTTAAAATTTAGAACAGTTTTCATGGAATCAGCGGCGATATAACATTTAACAATAAAGGAAAACGGACAAATATCACTTTAGATGTTGTTCAAATCAAAAAAGAAGGACTTAGAAGTGTAAGTATTAAAAATAAATATAAAATAATACTAATTATTTCATAATTTTATCAATATATTTACTAATAAAAATTAAACATTAAGTATATTGAGAAAATTAGATATCGACAATTACATTGATAATAAACAGTGCATTAGAGAAATTTGTGAATGAGAAATCTGCTATACATCATTCAAATAATGTAATTATTTATGATTTGTTTCGCAAATACAATGAAAGTTATAAAAATAAATTAATGAAGAGAATTAATTACATATATCTGTTTACTGCAGATAGGAAACTGGACAGGATCAGAGATTCTGTTGATTGATGATTATACAGAAGTTTTCGCAGAAGTGGCTGAAGTATTAGCAAACAAAACTTTAAGGGTCACTACAATTATAGTAAGTTTAAAATATTCTTAAATTCCAATTTATGTCATTACACACGTCCATTTTCACTAATGATTCAGTTAAATGTAACAAATGTTCGGATTAGTTTTACAATCCTTAAACATAATTACTTTAAATTTTTCTTTTACTAACTTAATATAAATTATAAATACAGTAATAAGGTATTTAATTTATTTTAAATTTAAATTCCTATACGTCTTATATTTTTGCACGTCCAGAAACTCAATTTTATCGAAATACATGATTTACAGTGAAGTGAAAATTGTTTCAGCGTTAGATTTATATTGCTGAAAAATCAGTTTTGATCTTTTATACTAGATGTTTGTTAAAGTAAAGAAAATCATGCCGTTGAACTGAATTTTACTTTAAAAAGTTTATATGTCTAGCAAATTCTGAGCAAATATATCATTCTGTAATGTCTTGTCTGATATATAGGCTTACAAATGTTATGATTTATCATGTAAAAATTTGATGTATTCGGAAACAAGTTATAACTCATATCACCGCATATTTGCTAAAATGGAGTGTTGTTTCATTCATGTTACGAGATAAAAGTTTCATTTTCTGCTACACGAAACGAATAAAATTAAAATACGTTATGTAAACAACAGGAAAAGAACAATTTCTCTTCATTTTCATTCTTCTTTCACTATAGAAAGAGGTCATTTTATTTTATGCGACGATACATATAAAAATATTTTAATTTTACGAAACTTATTCATTATTCAAAACTATTTTTCTTCGTTAAATGTTCTGACAGTTTTTTCTAGAATAAACAATTACGTGTCATAAATTATTCTATTTACTAACAAAACAGAAAGTTCTACTAAATAATTAAAATTAAAATGTATGTATACACCAGTAATTATATTTTGTATGTAGCAGTGTTAGTACATTGCTCATTTTCACTCAATTTAATCAACTGTTTATTATGCGAGTTTAAAAAAATGTATTACACATGTTTTAATATTGATAGCTTTATCAAATTTTTCACATGATAAAATATCCAATTTTCTAGAGTCAGCTTACAAGAACTTTACTCAAACTGATCGTCATGACCCCGTGACTAAGGTTGCTATCGATTCAGTTGTTTCCTTGAAAAAATCTACACCTCAAAATTGTTTTGTAATATTTCCTATCGTTTGCTTTTTATTGAAGCGTATCGATGCGAAAACAATAATATTTTATTTCAAAAGAAAGGTCTTAAGAAAAAAATCCATTCAAATTAATAGGAATTAAAATAATATATTTCTTGTAATATTTAGCAATTTACTTTATTTTATAAATATTATAAAGCGATTCCTGTTAAGGATGTAACAATATTGAATTAATTCCATTTAATTGGCATGAAAAAAGGATTAAGAGAGATAAGGCTTACAAATCTTATGGAAAAAATCTTAAATTTTTATATGTTCGAAACATGAATTTAACTTGCATTAGATAATAAAGATAATAATAAAATAATAAAGCCGTAATTAATTTAAAAATTGAAATAAAACAAAAAGCAATATAATAAAGTTTTCAGTATATAATTTATTTTAAGAATTAATAATATGCCTATGATTTATAAGCCTATTATTTAGCAATTTTATTAATGATTTATAATAACATAAATTTTATCGTTTAAACGTTACACCATTGAAAAGTAATTCACAGTAATTATTCTATATTTTTGTAACAAGATGTTTTTTTAAAGACTGCTATTAAAATTCTATTTCTAGAAAGAAGAATGTTTACTTTTATATAAGATCATTTTCATTTTAACAGCAACATTTTTGTAAAAATATTTCAAAAATCAAAGTCAAAATATATCAAAGCTTTCATATAATACAATAGATGCTCTGTTATCTGTCAGTAAATGTCATATATAGAAATCATTTTATCGCCATCTGTTATGAAATTTTGACATTAGAGAATTTAATGGCAAAATTTTTAGAGTGACAATGTGACAAAAATTTAATAATTACTCATTGTTCTGTAAGAAAATATTGTTATTAAATGCAGGCTGAAATCAAATGTATCTTTATATTAGAATTTATTAATTTGCAGTCTTATTTTTATGCTTTATATATTACTTAATAATATTAATAGCATCTTAAATAAATTATTCTCATTTAAAATAATTTTATACAATTAAAAACAATGCAAGCGTCTGAACATTTCAAAGAATGGATTGATTGTGATAAATTACAATTAATAACATAGCTAGAGTTAATTTCATATGCTGAAGGTTGACAGGAAGCATTTAAAACATATTAATTGTGTTTATTTTGTGTACAAATAATATGTTTACAATTTATAACAAAAGTCTCTGGCTCTATCTGGCTCTAACATAATTGATTCTTACTAACTTATCGTAACTTTTTGTAAAGGATTTATTGAAAATAAAAGATTATGCAGTTAGATCATTAATTACTAATATTAAAATGAGAAATGGTATCGCAGTAATCTCATTTATGAGATTAACTTTTATGGCATAAAATATTTAACATGTATTTATCTCAAATTTAATCGGCATTCAGCCATTCTTTAAATTTTCTGAAGTTTAAAATTAACTTTAAAATATATTGAAAGCACTAAAATATATTCTTAATCCGTATATAAGTTTAAATAAAATAATATGTGCTTAGTAAATATGTTAATAAATACTTTAATTTATGTTTAAATTCTAAAATCAATTCATTTCATTAACTAGTAATTTAAAAACATTGATTAATTTAAAAATATATTCACCAACTTATTCTTCTTAATATGCAAATAAAGACAATTCTCTACAATATAGCTTAAAGTAAACATCATAAATTAATATATTCTTAACTTTTATCGACGTTCATTGAATGATAGATAATACGAGTTATGAATATCCTATTTTTTTAACAGGAAAAACCTTACGTTATAGAAATAGATGACGAGACATTAACAGGAAATGAAAGATTTGAAGGCTATTGTATCGATCTTCTAAACGAAATTAAAAAAGAACTAAAATTTAATTACATCGTTATTCCTGTTAAACACGGTAGACATGGTAAAGAAAAACGACCAGGTAGCGGCCAATGGGATGGGATGATTGGAGAACTAATAAATAGAGTAATATATTTTTAATGACGTGATGCTATTTTTTTAATAACGAAAAATATTTATCTTAAATTATTAATTAATTTAATTTTGATTCTAGAAAGCGGATATCGCTATTGCTGATCTTACAATAACCACAGAACGACAGAAAGTTGTAAACTTTTCTAAGCCGTATATGCAACTGGGAATTGGAATACTTTTCAAGAAACCCGATATAACTGCGCCTAATTTATTCTCTTTCATGTATCCGTTTTCAACTGAAGTGTGGATTACAATGGCCACGGCTTATTTAGGTGTAACAATCTGGATGTATATTTTGGCTAGAATTACACCACACGAATGGTCAAATCCCCATCCGTGTGAACCACATCCCAGAGAATTAGTTAATCAGTTTAATCATCCAAATTCTTTGTGGTTTGGCATTGGCTCCTTAATGCAACAAGGTTCAGAATTTGCACCAAGGTAATTAATAAAAATAAATATTTCATTTGCTTTTAGTTTAATTAAATTATGTATACAACTAACTTTATTTTCGTTAACATGTAAGTGTAATATTTAAATGAATTAAATTATTTAAATAATTTATCTTCGTTCATCGTTATAAAATTATCAAATATACATTAAAACCAATTTATTTAATTTATATTCATCCATACTCTTAAAGAATTTTTATGATTTAATTTAAATTCAGAGCTATCTCAACACGAAGTCTTGCTGCTATTTGGTGGTTTTTTACTTTAATCATGATTTCTACATATACTGCAAACTTAGCAGCTTTCCTTACAGCGAAAAGAATGAAATCTCCTATAGAAAGTGCCAATGATTTAGCTTCTCAAACAACCATATCTTATGGATGTTTAGAGGGAGGATCAACATGGAATTTTTTTAACGTAAGCGTATTCTAATGCATCAAGATTTTTACCTTTGAAAAGACGAGATGAGAAGTTTTTATAACATTTTTTTTCTCAGAATACCGATCATGATGTATATCGAAGAATGTTTAGAAATATGGAAGAGAATAAACCTCACGCATATTCGAAATCAACACAGAAAGGGGTGGATAGAGTGGCAAAAGGAAATTACGCTTTTATTATGGAAACAACATCTTTACGTTATGCCAGAAAACAAAATTGCGAGTTAACCCAGATTGGTGAAAAATTTGTAGAAAAGAGTTATGGCATCGCTTTTCCTCAGGGTATTCAACTTTATCAAAAATTTTCATTTTCGTATCTTATAAAAAAGTGAATAAAAATTCTAAACCTTATATGAAGTACTTTGTAAAATAAATATAATTTTCTACAGAACTCACAAAAATTTTAAAAATATATTTATAGGTTCGCCTTATAATACACATTTTTCAAAAGAAATATTGTTACTGCAGGAAAGAGGTGTTTTAACTAATCTGGAAGAGAAGTGGCTGGGAAAAATTCAAGATGGTTGTGGGGATGAAAGTGTTTCGCCTGCAGCTGCGGAACTTAATATTCTAAATGTTGGAGGAATTTTTATATTATTAGGGCTCGGTGTTGCATTCGCTTGTATAATCGGTGTCGGTGAATTCTGGTGGAAAACTAAAAAGATACCCATTGAAGAACGGGTGAGCTTCATCTTACCATAATAAAACCCATCTTTTTATTTTAAGAAATGTCAATTTTACAAATAAGACATTGCTTCGTTTAAATTAAATTACTTATGTTTTATTATTATTATTATTATAAAACTCATATCGAAATTTTTATTGGCATTAAAGTAGTATCATTTATGTTATTAGGATTCCGTTTTTGTGGAACTGATAAGCAGAATGAAAGAAATTGTGACAGGTGCCGGATCCACAAGAATAATTGATAAATCATTCGACATGGACATCGATGAATTTTTTACTAAAGGAGCATTATTTGGTGTTCCGCCACCCAAAAAATTTTCTAAATAATAATTGTTAAGTTTTAAAATAAATCTATGTTTTCCGCTGATTCTATTATCAAACGTTAACTTTCTAACGTAAATTATATTTTATTTTTTCAAATTTATTTTACTTTAAATGATGTTACTTAATGATAATCGATTGTGAATTCCTAATGAGTTTACCTCGTAAAATTTTTAACAGATAAGCAATTTATTTGATAAAAACAAGTTAACTAAACAATTACGTTTTAAATTTATTCAATAATCAAATACAAATTGCGTATAACAATATTCTATTGCTATAAAAATTAACAAAAATTTTTTTATAACTTTTGTATTGTATCAGTACTTTATTAAATATTGCTTTATGATTCAATTTTTTATACTAAAAATGTGTCATTGCTTATGTTTTTTAGTCATTTATCTATAAGCCATATTTATCTTTAAATATTCCTCTAATATAGAGTCAAATGTATGGAAAATTATATATATTTATATTAAGTTCTGAAATAATCTATTATAATTAAAATGCTAATTATATTTATTATATGTTTATATATAAACTATAAATGCATTTATGTAAAAGTATATTTAATATTTAATTGTTCGTATTAAAATATTTTGAATAATTATAGAAATTATAAGCAAATATAAGAATAGTGTATATATATTTATTTATATAATATTTTATAATAAAATAAAAGCAAATATCTGTTAATAAGTAAAAAGTATAGCCTATTGTTCAATTTAAATTATTAAAACATATTTTTATTCAACAAAATTTAATGATGTAACATTTAAATCTAATGAAAACTTAAGCTCGAGTTGGATAATTGAAAGAATAATATGTAATTTTCTTTTATTTTTCTAAATTTATAGATAGGATCTCATTATAATCTATTTAATAACGTCTAGAAATGATGAATAGATTCATAATGAATAATTCATGATGAAATTAAGATAATTGTTATCTTAACTTGTACTCGTAGATTGAAAAGATGGATTTATGTTCTTGCTTTTATGTAATGATGACCTTTCAAAGTTTCAATTAGTTTCAAATGAATAAAATTTATTAATATTGTTTTGCTTATTCAATGTCATTTATTTAAATTGAATTATATATAGTTTTTCAATAATTTCATTATTTTTCCGGAAGCAATTTCATCCGACTTGAGCCACTTTCTAAGAAACTATTGATTTGTCTTACTATTATAAAGCGTAAAGGGAATAAAAAAAGAAGAAAAATCTTTTTTTAGATCATAATTTTTATTGAAGATATCTTGATTAAGTAAACTAAATCTACCAAAAACAATTCTCGATAATAAACTTTGATGCGTCTTAATTATTTTGTGGCCAGATCACAATGTCGTGACTAAAAAAAATTCGCTTTTTTCAAACTTTAACTAATAAGAAGAAAGATTTAATGAAGTCATTATGTTTTCCTCTCTGAAATTTCCAATTAACTTTTAATTGAGCAAAGGTAACTTAACTTAGTAAAATGATTTAATCATAACAACTGCATATAAAAAGGACTACTTTCAAAAATTTCTTTTTATATTAATCTAGAATTTGATATAATTAATACGTTTTTATTAAGATAATGCCTTTACATTAAATTTAAATAAAATATTTTTTGAAATAAATTCATATCGATTATATTTATTTATAAAAGTATAAATGAATGAGTTATATTTATTAAAATTAGGGAATTTATCAATTGATTATTTTTAAAATAATTTTTGAACATTACCTTTTCTTTGAATTTTTATAGCATTTAATAACGAAATTAAACATCACGTTATTTGTAAAAATTTATTATATGAATAATGCCATCTTAGTAGTAATATACAGTAGCCTCTCGTTATATCATGGATTCGGATATATCGCGCTATTTATTTTTGGCTCCAAAATTTTTAAATATCAATTGCCATAATATTTTTTTTGCGACGAAATACAGTATTTTTTCCCCCATCATTATCCCTGAAATTGCCACTGCAGGTGAAACAATAAATTCATAATATAAATAATTGGTCTGTACACCTGATTAGCTTATCATTTACGTTTCCTTTGATATTAAAAGTTGTTTATTTATTGGTTTTAAGTACTGTCTCCACATTTATAAGTTATTATGAATTAAATTAACGCAAAACTGTCAATTCACATAAAGGTGTGAAATTTCGAATTCATTACGTAATGTGTAAGGAAAAGTTTTATTTCTGAACGGAAATTTCTAAAATTTTTATACTGTAGTAACTTTAATTTCCTTTTTAGAAAACTTTTATTCTGAAATTTTATGAGTTTTGATGTTCTAATATGTATACAATATTTGTTTTTTTAAATTTTCAAATACTGTATTTATAATTTTTATTGGAAAAAATATATTATTTACACGAATTTTTAATAAGCGATTTATTATGAAATATAGTACTGTATAATAAAATCTCAAGTGATATTTTGTTTTATATCGACAGTATTTGTCTTTAAATGACATTGTTAAAGAAACAATAATGCTAAATGGGCGTTCGTGGTATCGATGTTTACGTAAACGTCATTTAATACAATATAACCTCGAATAAAATTTAGTATTGCAAAACTAATCTTATCCTATATCAGAAACATTTGCCGATGAAAGAATAGAGTATATAGATTCCATAGATTCCATAGCATGTATAATCTGTTTTAGTACTCGGTTATATTGCCCTTTTTCTTTGTCTGTGCGATATAACAAGGAGCTACTGTAATAAAATATTTTCATTAAAATAAAAGGACTTATACAAAATTCTAAACTATAAATCTAATAATTTTTGGAAAAAATTATACAGCTTTGTATAATTACTATAAACTATATATCGAAGCAAATATATAGGCTAAATTGCCTATAATTTATCAAATAACCAAAACGTACAATAAATCTAAATCTAGTGTATACACACGCAGACAGAACACTCTCATTAAAATTGTATTAGGTTGTTTGAACAGAAACCCAAAGTCATTGAAAAACAAAAATAATGCCTTCGAATTAATTCTGCACTATACACACACAAACAATAAAAAAAAATAGCAATAAAAAAGTACGATAGATAATGACTTGTACTGTACATCATTTAACACGTTCTTTTGTAAAAATTACGAATAATAAATTTATAAAACGACTAAATAATTAACATACATTTATATACCCTAAATTATATAAATTTTCAATCATTGATTTATAATTTACAATATATTTATTTTAATATGTGAATGAAGGAATTCACATTGTAGACATGAGAAATTTATTTTAAATTCCGAAGATTTCAACTGTTTGATGCTAGAAAATTTACAATTATTTCTATAATTTTTGTATCAAATTTAATTAAAATCTGTTCAGTTTATTCAAGCAGCAAATTGTTTTCGATAGGAGCAGACTGCGGATGGGCGGATCGATGGATACTAATAGGTGCTTATAGCACTGTTGTTAAAATGGAGAAAATCTATAGGCTTGTAATTTGATATATTTTTATTTATAAATTACAAAATATAATAATTATTCTAATTAATTGTTCGATTAAAGTTGCTGTAAAGATTATAAAATATTTAATAAATGTGACGTTACAAAATAATTAGATTTTTCTAAATTAGAATTATCTTCCTATATTGGATGAAAATTCACATGAAATAACAATTTTTTTTATTATTATGTGAAATATAGTTTAAACTATAACAATGTTATTGTTGTAATGATTAAACTTTTCGTTTTTCTATTGTTTCCACCATTCTTATATAAAAATTACACGATTTAATGTTTAAAATTAGTAATATTTTAATTTATATATTATAACATTACATAGAAATTAAAATAATAAATTTTATATTATTTTTACAATTACGAATGCGTTAATGATTACTTTAAAAATGCAATATATTATTTATTTTATAAGATATTTAAATTAATTACAACTCACACGAGAATTCTGTGTTAAAGATTTTACTAAATAGATATCATTAATTTATAAATAATATAATTAAAACTTAATATTAACCATAAATCATTTTCATTTTTGCTGTAACTGTTGCAAATTTCGTCATCTGTTACTGAAAGAACGGTTAAAGAAAAATTAGTTTGCATTCCTTATATATTATAAATGACGTTTCTTTAAACAGAATCAAATTGAGATAATTGATAACCCAAGAGTATTTTAAATTTTTCTTCACATACTCATTCTGTCACTTAAAAATTCTTTTCATTNACTTGTACTCGTAGATTGAAAAGATGGATTTATGTTCTTGCTTTTATGTAATGATGACCTTTCAAAGTTTCAATTAGTTTCAAATGAATAAAATTTATTAATATTGTTTTGCTTATTCAATGTCATTTATTTAAATTGAATTATATATAGTTTTTCAATAATTTCATTATTTTTCCGGAAGCAATTTCATCCGACTTGAGCCACTTTCTAAGAAACTATTGATTTGTCTTACTATTATAAAGCGTAAAGGGAATAAAAAAAGAAGAAAAATCTTTTTTTAGATCATAATTTTTATTGAAGATATCTTGATTAAGTAAACTAAATCTACCAAAAACAATTCTCGATAATAAACTTTGATGCGTCTTAATTATTTTGTGGCCAGATCACAATGTCGTGACTAAAAAAAATTCGCTTTTTTCAAACTTTAACTAATAAGAAGAAAGATTTAATGAAGTCATTATGTTTTCCTCTCTGAAATTTCCAATTAACTTTTAATTGAGCAAAGGTAACTTAACTTAGTAAAATGATTTAATCATAACAACTGCATATAAAAAGGACTACTTTCAAAAATTTCTTTTTATATTAATCTAGAATTTGATATAATTAATACGTTTTTATTAAGATAATGCCTTTACATTAAATTTAAATAAAATATTTTTTGAAATAAATTCATATCGATTATATTTATTTATAAAAGTATAAATGAATGAGTTATATTTATTAAAATTAGGGAATTTATCAATTGATTATTTTTAAAATAATTTTTGAACATTACCTTTTCTTTGAATTTTTATAGCATTTAATAACGAAATTAAACATCACGTTATTTGTAAAAATTTATTATATGAATAATGCCATCTTAGTAGTAATATACAGTAGCCTCTCGTTATATCATGGATTCGGATATATCGCGCTATTTATTTTTGGCTCCAAAATTTTTAAATATCAATTGCCATAATATTTTTTTTGCGACGAAATACAGTATTTTTTCCCCCATCATTATCCCTGAAATTGCCACTGCAGGTGAAACAATAAATTCAAAATATAAATAATTGGTCTGTACACCTGATTAGCTTATCATTTACGTTTCCTTTGATATTAAAAGTTGTT